CATGCATCACAGACACAGACTTCCTTTAGTGTCTCCAAAAACAGAAAGAAGCTTTGCTAAAACAATCTTAAGCGTCAAACCAAAGCAGACATGCTGTTCCCCACAGATTATACATCAATAACACAAACTAAAAATATAACCACCAGAGGTCTATTATATTGAAGGATCTGGGAACTCAGAGTTTACGTAACAGAGGTTCACACTACTGTAGGGTGGCGTCCCCTCATGCCGTGTAACTGTGACCGCGCAGACACTTGACCATATAGACACGTCCAGTGGAGAGCAGCGGGTTTGTGGAAGAGGACAGTATGGCCCCACGGACCTTGACTTTTCTTTCTGACATATGGAGGGATGGGATACGAGAACCAAAAATCTGCAAGGAAGCATCTTGTTCACACCATTCTCCAAACCCAAATATCTGGGCTATGATTTGAGGATCAATAGTAATAACTCTTTATTTCTGTCTGTGCAGGTGGAGGAGGAATTTTTCTACAATAAGCTGTTTACCTCCAGTGGCTATGAGTTGTGTTACAGACGGGGCACTTTAAACTCTGACAGCTGCAAAGGCATTAGTAGCTGCGAATCCTTGGATCATTTTCTAGAGATTTTTCACTAGCAGCTCCAAAGGGCGCACCTAGGAGGTCGGCCTCTGCATTTGAAAGTGAGGATGGGAAGGCCGCACTGGGAATCTGGAAGCAAGGGTCCTCTTCCTCAAAAGGGTCCATCAGGTTACAATAGTTTGCTGTGGGCAAACAGTGACTCAGAGCTAAGAATCGGCGTCAGGACTCATAAGCAATAACTGAATATTTAAACAACTCCCAAAAATGGGAGGAAAGAAACTTAGGGGAGTGAAGTTAAAATGTATTTATAGTTTCCCACTGGTGCCAAAGGCTATAGGTGATGGCATGAGCCGGGGCCGCCAGTCCCGCCCTCCCAAGGACAGTCCCCAGGGCGGTCCCGCTCCAGCTGCAAGTCAGCATTCCAGCTGTGGCTCCTCACTGTCCACACCCTCTCCCATCTGGGACCTCTTCGTGCGTATCTTTGCCCTCAACCCGAATCAAACCCTGTCACACTCCTGGGGTCAAGCATTCCCCTGCCCCTTGCTGGAAAGACAGTTCTGATGGGAGCTGATTCTCCTTTTATTTCCATCTGGATTTTCCTACATCAAAAGACTCTCCTCCTCCTGCCAACCCTGAATGACAGGGAGGGATCTTGGTGCAGGCCCTTCAGTGGCTCTTCCGGTGCTGCTTCCAGACCATGGCTGTGACAGTGCACGTCTTCCTTCTCTCTGGTTCAGCCTCTCCCCATCGTCTCTCCTCCTGCAGAGCCGCAGTCTCTGCTTCTCGGTGAGCCACGCTGACCACAGACCCAGCTCCTCTTGACAGACAAGTCTACTGCTTCTTCCTCTGACCTTTGGTTTGAGACACCCTCAGCCTCTAAGCTTAATGCCTCTGACACTGCAAATTCCCATCTGACCAGCTCAACGCTGCTCCCTGTCTCCATCACATCTGACCCTACCTGACGGCATCCTTCCGGGGCCCCATCCCCAGGGACACCAGGCCCTTGCTCTGAAGTGCAGGCAGACTCACAGAGCCATTTCTTTCTATTTCCTTCCACAGCCCGGTTCTTTCTTGTGCTCAGTCTGTTACCATGGAGAGGGTCTGGCTGGGCCATGAGACCAGTTGTGGCAAAACCAGAACACTGTGGGGAAATCGGGCATTTCTGAGGTCTGTGATACCATGCTGGAGAGAATATAAATTCCACACAGGAACACAGGAAGAGGTAACAGGGAAGAGAAGGGGAATTCATGCCTGAAAGCCTACTATTTCTACGGTGCCCTGTGAAAGACAGTCACTGACAGTTTTGGTGTGGGGAATGATTTCAGCCTGAGACGACGAACCTTTTAGAGGCTGAGTGCCCACACTACAACCAAACCCACTTCTTTACCACAAAGTGCCAACACTGCACTCTAAACCTGAATGTCCAGCGCTCGGCTGCTGAGGTGACTTGGTTTGCATGCCTGCTCTGATGCATGTGCCCCAGGTTTGCCACTGATCTGACCAAAGGGGCCTCAGAAAAATTCCGGAAACGGAAGATGAGAGAAGTCGTCTTCTAAATGTCAAGGACCCTAAAAATGTCAATTAGCCTAGAACATTCTCCTGTGTCAGCTGAACGTGTCCTTACAGGGCTGGGGATTTAGCTCAGTGGTGCCGCCGCCTGCCTCACAAGTGCAAGGTCCCAAATTTGATCCCCAGTACAAAAACAACAACAACAACAAAAAAATGTCCTTACAGGCATTACATCTACTATTAAAAAAACTTGAAAAAAGTAGTCATTCTATGGCTTCCTGTCTTGTTTATTTCTGGAAGGAGCAGATGCTAGCCTAACAGAAATGCCAATTCTCAACTACCTGTTTTTGAAATTTTACCCCCAAACAATTCATTATTTAACTATTAGTAGGAATATAAGGTAAGTTTATATTCCAGGAGAAAATACAGTTTCCAAGGAAAAATATCTCAGGATATCTTTAGGGTCTTCACCCTGTACTTGCTCACGAGAGCAAACACCCTATAGTTCAAAATGGAGCCTACACGAGGTATCATTCAGTCCAATTGACCCGTGTTATAGGGAAGAAAAAGGAAGCATAACGCAAACGGTGACAGATTTAGTTTCTCAGCTACTAGGACACAAAATGAGTACTACATCAAGTCCATAAGGCTCTTCCAGGCTAAGATTTTTTTTTAAATGACAGAATCCAAGGAAATTAAAGTGCTTTATTCACTGTCTCATGATGACTCTGCCTTCAACTACTTCCCGCAAAATGGTGGCCGATGGTATTTCCTGTGCACCTGACCTGCCCGGCATCACGCTGCAGTTTCTTAAGTCACCGTGAATTCTCTCTCAGCCCACGAGCCCAGTCTGCAAGTGAAGAAGGCTGTCATAGACACACCTTTGTTGGATATGCCCTCGCTCTCCCTCCTCCATCCAGGCGTTTCTCATCCTTTGACGCTCAAAGTTTCTACCCTCAGGGAAGCCTCTGGTGACTACAGGACCAACATCTCTGCACAGAGCAACCTGAGTGCAAACCCATCTGCAGTACTGGACACATGGCCTCTGGCCCGCAGCCCCCTCCAACTGCTACTGCACATGCCATGGGTATGCCTGGTTATTCCCTCTGACTCTAAACTGGGTGGGGGACAGCGCTCAATCTCCTCTCTCCCCAGTGCCCACTGAATAATAGTAACTGCACAGAACTGAGACACACGGAGGGCACGAGGTTGGTGAGGCATGCTACACACACGAGCACCAGGAGACAGGGCTTCCAGCAGCAGCGCTTGCTTCCTGCAAAACTCCAGGGGAAGGCAAAGCAGCATTTGCAGCCAAAGCCATGGGAAGCCAAGAGAACAATTCATTGTTTTTTCTCTGTCAGCCAACCACATTACTAAACCCTAAAATACGAAGAAATAACACTGATAGTTATTTAAGTTTGGAACCAATGTGCTCAAGTGCCAGGATGGAGAAACACATTTTTCTCTCATTCTTTAATTATCGATTCCCAAAAACAATAAGTAAAGATCTTTATTTAAAAATATATAACAAAAGGGGGCCTTGTATTTTAAGACTCTAAACTGAAAGAGCACACCTTTCACCAGCCTTCTCCTCAGCCTTTTATTTCCCCCTAGTTAGTCCTGTCAGCTGCTGGCTATTGATTTCCTAGAGATTTATTTCGCACTGTGCAGAACTGAGCTGCTGACCTCCTACCGTCTGCACCTGATCTTCTGCAATCTTAGGGTGAGGAAGGGGACACGGGCTGCATAGAGGCCGATGTGGGAGGGACAGTAGCACGCCACCAAGCAGGTACCTCCTCCCTGGGTGCCCCTCGCTGACTTGCCATTCTCCACACAACAGCCAAAGGGCACATGCTTCGTCAGGATTTGAAAAGTAATTTCCACAGAATACTTCTCAGGTCTTAAGTGGCTCCAAAAGGACAGGCAAAAATGTGCTGTCACCTTAAAAACAGAAGACAGCCACACAGGCAGGAAGTCACCTTACAACCCAGATGCAGGAAGCCAGTTACTGAGGGGAATTCAAATGAACAGAAAGGACGGATTGCTCTCCCTGTATCTGCAACTGTGAGATGAGAGACTACCGCCGGAAACAAGCAGGATGTCTGAAATACTTTAATATGCGGCTTCCACTCAGTGTTAACATTTCAATTTTCAGAATTGAGCCCTCAGTGGTCAGGAGCAGGCTGGATACTGAATCTCAATACAGGGCCCACGGCACTGCTCTGTCCCATTAACAACCTGCATCCTTCCTGTGCAATCCTGGATATCAATCGCGGTGTCTGAACATTTGATGAATTTCAGGCTGTGTGTTTGTTCTGGTGTCCGGGACTGAACCCAGAGCCTCACACTGCAGCTCCAACTCCACTTCCTTCCCTACCTAGGGAATACGGGTGCGCTGCAGGTGACGCATCTCCTTCAGGGTGGGCCTCTGACCACAAATCCCTCGACTCTGCTGTTTTTCAACTAGACAAAGAGACCAACTGTTCACTGTGACTTGCTTCAGAATAAAACAACTCCGAGCACTCTGTGGCTGACATCAGGCTTTAGCAAATACACCAGGTGTGGTGTACACACACACACACACACACACACACACACACACAATTTAAGAAGTTCATTATCTAATGGAGGTAAATCTTCTAAAATAAGACTTTCAAGAGTCTCCAGTAGTCAGATGACTTCTCAGAGAGCATCCACATTAAAACCAGCAGGAAGATGCAAGGAGTGATACAGGGCACTTGCCCTGCCCATCTTCGGGGCCCCTGAGGGTTCTGGGTGGCCCTGGGAAGATAAAGGACATGGCCCCATCTGGTGAAAGTCCAGGGAGGCAGCACCTCAGTGACAGGACTCACGCATAACACAGCAGCTCTAGAACCCAGAGTTTATCTGTTGCTATGGCTCCAGGAATGGAACATCTGCCTAATCCCAGCCATGAACCCACCAGAAACAGGACAGGACAGCCACATGTCAGCTCTAGGGCTGGGAGACACCACAAGCTGAGCTACAGACCCAGCCCTTTTGAAATTTTGAGAAAGGGTCTTGCTAAATTGCCCAGGCAGGGCTCATACTCATGATCCTCCTGCTTCAGCCTCCCAGAGTGGTTGGGATTACAGGCATGCATCGCCATGGCCAGCTTAGCAGGATTTTTTAATGGATGCACTTCCTAACAAACTCTGTGATCAATTATACAGGAAGGCAAGGGAGGACACCTTGTAAGGTAATATGCAGACGCTCTCTGCTAAACATTCATCCTGTGGAAAGAACCATAGTGGCACAGATGGCTCCCACCTAAGCAGCAGAAATTGGGGCTATGACTTCTTCCTGCACAGAGTTATGTTTAAAGTTTTATAAGGAAATTAAAATTTCACTGAGTTCTCCCGCATGTCCAGTGCTTGAGACAAAGGGCACGAGCTAGCAACTGACGCAGGAGGAATAACTGGCCATGCAGAAACAGATTTTCCTATTAGTAATCGAAACACACACAGACTGTGCTGGAGCAGTGGGGCTGGCAGAGCTGTAGGAAAGGTCCTAAGTTCATCTCCTCCTGCAACAGACCGTCCTGATGGCACCGGCCGCCACAGGTACCAATGAAAGAGTAAGGCCTGGCATTCCCTTAAGTCACCCTAAAACCAAATAAATTAGATTCCTGCTTACACAGGGAGCATCACAGAGCCAGCGGGATTGAGGGAATTTTCTGAAGGCAGTCCTCGACTCTGGTGTGGCTCCTGAAACGACCTTTAATAAGGAGCAAAGGCCACCGCTTGGTCATCAGAAATAAAGCTTTCAAATACAAAAGACAGATCGAGGTGAGGCTGACATACACCTGAGTTTCAGCTGACTGCTAAGAATAGCACAACTACTGAGATCTTCATCCAAGCTTAGGGAGCAAGGGAACACCACTGGGTGGCGTGAGACTTCTGAGGCAGCAGAGGTGGGGTAGAGGGAGGGACAGGAACAGCAAAAATGTGGCTGGAGGGAGCATGCTGTGGCTGGAGTAGGGTTCCCACAGGGGCCGGTGAGCTAGGGCTTGGGCCCCAGCTTGCAGAGCTACTGGGAAAGGGTGGAGCCTCCAAGTAGCAGGGCCTGTTGGAAGTCTCCCCTCTCTCGGGGGCAGGGCTCTGAAGGGGTTGATGGAACCCCAGCCCTCATCTCTCTCTCTCTCTCTCTGTGCAGGCCACCATGAGGTAAGCAGCTTTCTCAGCCATCTGCTCCCCGACGATGCACTGCCTCACCCAGGCCCAACAGCCACAGGCCAACACCGAAGCCTCCAAAGCTGTGAGCTATGATAAACCTTTCCTCTCTTTAACTTGATTATCACAGGATTCCATTGCAACCACACAGGGTTGGAGTCTTGCATCTGAATCACTGTCCTGCTCTTCAGCTGCTGTAAAATTCAAGGGGCACCATCTTGGTGCTGAGTCACCATTTCCCCACCTGTACAGTGGGGGTCACGCCAACTCCCAAGGTGCTCTGAAAATTAGATGGCATTATTTGTTTGAATGCATTTGGAAAAGGGGCAATCCGTGCATTAAAATGAAGGTGACAGCCAGAAAGTAAAACTTTCCTGGGACAAGACTGTCTAAAAGTGAACCTGCTTTTCAATGGGGTAAAAGATGTGAAGACATTCTGGCTCCACAGGTGTTAAACAAGGCAGCTCTCCTGCGTGGGCTCATGTGGCAGGTGACCTGGATACGAAAGGGCAGTCCTAAGCCGAGCCTAACCTATCTGGACTCCTGACTCCTGGTGTCTCCACGCAGCCACTCCCAGCCACGCCCAAAGGCCATGCTCTCAAAAAGCTCAGAAATAACTGTGATCCGTGGCTGCACAAGTGGCTGTCGTGCTTTTGGAAAACACAACGGCAGTGTAAGCATCCTTCACACAGCCAGATAGCTGGAGTCTACAGGCATGCAAATTCAGTCTTTCCTCCAATGCAGTGACAAGATATTGTTCACTGAAACATAAAGGTGAAGGGTTAGTATTGAGAGAAAAGAGTTAGCAACAAATCCAAACTGTAAGCAAATAAAATGCAAAGTCCACTTTTGTGCAGGAGAACCACGTGTAGGGAGAGGGCTGGTTTCCTTTACACGACTCGGGGTTCACTCAGATGAGTGTCACGTCACCTCCACACCCAGGGCTCTCTGCAGGGCCCCTCCGCCATGTGACCTGCGGCAGGGCGGTGGGGCAGCCCCTGCCGCTCACAGGCTTCACTTCATTCTGTCTCTCCACCCGGTGCCAAGGTTCGTTTCTGCAATAGTAGGGGCTATAAGCAATGGAACTCAGGTCTGCCCTGTTCCGCACACTCAGAGCCAAGCCCACTGGGACATTGTGACATTTTCTTATTTTTAAGCCTAGGCAAACAGCCAGTGAAAATACACTAACTTGTCCCTAAGGTTATCAGTGTGACTCGCCTGGACAGTTTTCTACAAGACAGACACTACACGTGGAGCAGACGCACACATTCACACACACACACACACACACACACACACACACACACACACACACACGTGCACGCACATGTACACCAATTTACATAAAAGCATAGGAAAAAAATATATGAACTGTGAAATTACAGTGATTCTTTGGATCTCTTTCATAATTTTAAAACAAGGGGCTTATCCAACATGCAACCTCTCGACCCCACTCTAAATAAGCGGCTGCTTTCTATTTAAAGCCAAATCGCTTTCGTCCCTCAGAACAATCCTCAATTCATTCTCACATCACAGAAAGTGATTTAGGTTCTAGACATTTCAGTGTGCAGCTGAGACTCCCTCTCTGCCTCACGCTCAGGCCACATCAGGCTTAGGAAGGCCACAGATCAGTCCACAAAGAACGGGCTGCTGTTACTTGGAGAGACGCGTGTGCTCTGCACAGTGAACCCTGGGCCATCTGAGGAGCAAGCCAAGGGCCTTCCAGGGGGAGACGCTCAGCTCCCATTTACAGGACCCTCACACTCTCAGGGTTTCTTAGGAAATGAAGGACGGAACTTGCTGCTCCTATGGTGATGAAAGGGAAACAGAATTGTTCTCTTCCTTAAGGACTGTCACTTGTGTGTCACAGTCCCTGAGATGTGTATTAAACGAAGCTATGAAATTAATGCACAATTCCATGAAAGCAAAGAAATGTACGAGCTCTTAAAAAGCTCTGAAGAGCAATACTCAACATAATGAACTCCCAGAACCGAGTTTAGGGATTTGAGCCACAGCTGTGATGTACTGGAAGGTACAACTCTGTGCTTCTATCAAACTTATCTAAATTGTCCCAGAAATGACAATTCTTGCTTTGCCTGCCCAATGTCAAGAGAGCCCCAGGGACAAAGCCCACTCTGCAGATGCCACGAGGGGCCAAAACCATCTTCCACTGGGCAGAACCCAGGTAGCCCCCCGCCTGCCTCTGGAGAACACTGGTCCTGCGTTCTGCACTGGGAATGGGATCCCCACCTCCGGAAAGTCTGTCTCAGCCTTGATGAAGCAAGGAACACTGCGTAACACAGCACAAAAGCAAAAGCAAGAAATACCAGACTGTTTTGTCTCATTCATTTTCATTTTGGTCCCAGTAGAGGACTTTTAGAGGACTCTTGATATTTCAGATTTTAAAAGAAAACTATGAAATTTAAAAATGACTATTCCCAAGGCCAGTTAGTCCCTTGAGCTGTTTAGCAAATTCTCAAACTTCAGAACACGCTGTAGTCACCTGCAGGATGGGCGAGAGCAATACTGACCCAGCCCAGCAGACCTGGGAGAACCGGACAGCAGAACGTGCACGGTCAGTCCTCATGACGCCAGGGAAGCAGAAGGCCAGCAAGTCCGGGCTCCCTGATTTTTCTCCCCTGCGCTGCTCACACCCAGCCTCTGCATCCCACGCCTGGAGGCTGTGTCTCTGCGGCTGCTGACTCCACCTGTCCCCTGTCCCAGGTCCTGCTTATTTCCGTCCTCACCCTCGGTGTGACCACCGGGCACTGCTGAATTAGTCTGTGCCCGGAGCTGTCCCACCTATGAGGATGTGCTTCTTGTACCAGAAGACACTCCGCCCTCATAGCAGGCAGGCTCTCCCTTCTGAATGTGCGCTTTTTCAGCGCTGCCAATGGTTTTAGAAAGTAAAATAAACAAGAGGACAGAAGTACGTGATATACACACACCCAGCCTTCAGACACCTGCACGTCTCCCAGCCACCCTTTCCATGAGTGTGCTTTATGCTATTTTTCTGCTTTAGGGGAGGGCTTCCTAAATGGAAATGTGTAGAGATGAGTGGATTTCTCACAATTTTCCCATGCAGTCCTTTAACAGTCAAAATAATCAGGAGCATTTTTCACCATTTAATGGCAAGTCTTTTGAAATTCATGGCTTTTGAAACTTTGAGGATTCAGCTGAGGCAGAACCATTCAGGGAAACCCAAGGAAAATGCCCCCTTATAACGCACAGTGGAGCTGACAGTGACCTTCGCACCAGAAGCCTTAAATCTGGGTCTTGACACTAGCAGAGTGTTATTTGTCAAGTAAGGACAGTCCTGAAGCCTTCTGTCCATCAGTTTTCTAAGCAGCTGTCGCCCATCTTTGGCAGGCTGTGGCTGGAGGGTGGCAGCTCAGGACAGCCAGGGCTCCGTCCAGCTCTTAACTGAGAATGCCAGTGCAGAGCTGGGGCAGCGGTTCCGGGGCCCTGCACACGTTCACTATGGGTCTTAGAGTCATTTCCTGACTTTTCCTGATTTTCTAAATATATCTAAGGGCAGCCTTAGAAGTCACACAGTCAGTATGCGTGCAGGCTTGGGGCGAAGGCACCCAACGCTCACCTCCTTTCTCCTAACACCAGACACCTTTAGGCGGTGCAGTCGTCCAATTTTCCAGTGGCTTTGGTTAAATTCTGGGAGAACTTCTAAGAAACACCTGTACACTGGCCTATGCACACCGAACTGCATCTCAGAGTAAACACGCCACCCTGCAGAGGGCTGGTCAGTGTCCTGCAGAGCTGGCAGCAAAGGCCCTGCACCCACAGGCACGATGGCAGCTCCATCCTAGCATTCTGCAGAGTGGACCCAAGCAGACGCCAGCTGCCTCAGCTGAGCGCAGCTTCTTCGTCCACCTCCCACCAGTTATTTTGCGTTTCCTCTAAAATGTCATTTTTCACTCAATATCTTGGCAACGGTGCTCTTTTTTCCTAGGTGCCAACAACGCTCCCCAATTTACCCGACCACCGTTCTTCACATACCTTTGCGTCATCTGCTGTGATCCAAGCTGAGCAGTTCACTCAAGCACCTGCCGCCACGGGAGAAGCAGGTGAGTCAGTCTCCGGGAACGCACAAAGGGTCTCCTCACGCAGCCGTGAGAGCAGATGACTCTGGTGACCTCCTAGACAGGCACGCTTAGCCTCCACCTCCGTCCAGGGCTGACTGTTTCCTACCCTTTCCTTGTGGCTTCGTGATAGAGGTTTGCAATGAGCAGGCAGCGACTAGAAGGTACAACTCTGTGTTTCCATCAAACTTATCTAAAAGACGGGCGCCATGGCCATGAACACGTGCCTCTATTCCTCGGGGGCCTATATCCAGCTCCCTTATAGCAGGCAATGATTTCCCTGCTTAACTAAGACTCTTTACACATCGACAATTATCTTCGCATAAACATTTGACCTGAGGCCAGGCTTGCACAGGGAAAGAGGGTTCTGTTATTTAAGTCAACTTGTAAAACTCCAAACACGTTACTGCCTATCGATGTGTAACAAGATCGTGATAAATGAGAAAGCAAGTCTCATACACACTGACCCAGTAACATACAAATGCCACTTAAATGGTTTATTTCACTGTGGTCTTCCGTTTAGAGCACAATTTTCAGCTTTCTATGCATTTGATTCATTTCTGGCACTCGGACGAGGATGATTCATTTTATGTCAGTCTGACTGGACCACAGGGCACCTCCACATGGAGCAAGCACTATTCGGCGTCAGTGACCGCTTTTGGAGGAGACGAACCTCCGAATTAGTGATCACCCCAGTAAAGCGAATTGGACTGCTGACTCCACCGCCTGCCGCCAACCAGCTGGAGCCCTGCAGAGAGCGAAGTTGGTGGCCCTAGGATTGGCACTGCCTCGGCACTGGCTTCTCTGGGTCTCCAGCCTGTCTGCCTTGGACCTTGGGCCCAAGCCGCTGTACTGCATTAGCCCTTCCCTGCAATGCATCCCTTCACACACACCCGCTCACAACCCAGGGCCTCCGTCACCCTACAGCATCCTCGCGATCCAACACCGATACCAGAGACCTCTGTGAGGGTCTTCTCTATTGCTAGTCTGCCACTCGCACTACGGGTGTCAACGCATCATGTATCTTGCCACTGTCTCTGTTCCTTGTGCAAATCTTAATAGCATCTGTGTGGCTAGAATGTACCACACCCTTCTGCAGAGAGGCTTCATTCTCTCTGGAAGTCCAGGGCAAGGCCTGCCTTCTCTAGGGCCCCAGCACTCCCTGTCCAGCCTGGGCTGACACTGCTGTCTGCGCCAGGGACCGGACATTTATTCCAAGTTCTTGTTATACTGTACTCCAGTATTTTTCAAGGCAATGATCTGTTTCTTAACAGGATTGAGAATTCCCACTCAACTCTGTCTTTGCATGCCGGGGGACCCAGCACCCCTCACAGGTCTGTGATAACCAGGAGGCAGACGTTCAGAGGTGCCTGCAGATGTGGCCTCAGACTGCTGACCTCAGCCAGGTACATGGAAGGCAAGTGCTCTGAACCTTCAAGCAGCACTGGGTGAAGCTTCGGCAGCACCTGACACACTGCCTCCCACACAGCTGTCCCGAGATCTTCCCTAAGGAAGCGAGTCTTTCCTTGCCTTCATGGTCAGCACAGTGATGTAGGTTAATGGTTCAAAACTGTAATTTTTTAATCCAAATATTTTGTTAAACAAGATCCTATCTAGAACCTCAAGAGGGATAACAGCACTTCTTGTAGTGCCCTAATGGTTGCAGGAGGAGTGGGGTCATAAGAACTCCCTGCCCCACCAGGGCAGAGCCCACCCTGGGGCCAACCCAAGTCCCCTCAAGGGAGAAAAGGAGGCTTCTCCCGCCATGGCTCTAGCTCAGGGGCCTGCAATCGCCTAGAAATGTAGAGCCCTGGCGTCAGCCCCAGCATCACCAGCAGCCTTCCTCTTTTGGCCCGATTTTCTTACCTGACATGACTCTTTCTGGAAGCTGATCCATTAAAATCATAAGAAAAAGCTTTCCCACACACAATATCTTAATAGCAAAATACCTTAGAAAGGCCTGGTGGATCTGAGGGTCTGAAACATCACCTGCCTATCTAAAGCTGAAGTTTCCTAGGCAGTGCCACTGGTCATCTTCTTTTGGGGACCAGGAACTACTAGCTACAGGGGCCATGGGCAACACCCGCGTGTCACACACTCACTAACAGTAACTAGTGACAGTGAGCTCTCCCGGTGGCCAGCATCTAACACTTTATCACTTTCCAACTGAACCAAACCAATGCCATTCTGCATTGAGCTTCTGGATGTGGTGGCAACTGGCCATCGTAGATCTACTTGGTACAGCTTACTCCTCTCCTTCAGGAATGACGATGAAATTAGACCCTGAGTTCTATTACATGCTACATCCTTGCCAACCAGGGTGTCTGCTGTACAGTATGGTCCTCTGAACAGTGATTTCTGAAGATCGCCTCAGGTGGCCTGTGTTCCCTCTTCCTTCCCAGATTGGAGCATTTCCAGTCACAAGGCACAGGAATTTCATCCACAGTACTGTGAAAGCCAACACAATCCTCAAGTGGTTCAAAGCGCCAGGTCCTTGAAAGAAAAAGCTCCACACCCCTATTCTGCATTAATCCTCACTTAAAGCATGGTTACCAGCAGACATGGTGTTTATCTTTAGCAGTGGGTGGGGTGAGATGGGTTTGTAAAGTGGAGTTTTTATTCCTTAATTTCTATAGTGCCTTCATGAAATTCTCTTGGAGGTCAGGCCACAAGCAGAAAAGCAAATTAGGAACCTCATTCATGGTTTCTTCCTTGTCAAGAATATGCTGTATTAACTGTAAGGATATAAATTCACCGATTCCACTGAATTACACTCAATTATCCCAGGTCAGTGAGCTTCAAGCAAACTGGAGTTTAATCGGGATGATTTTCCCAAGGCCTGCATGAGCTGTAACAATCGCGCACACAGGAAACCATCACGGAACGTTGCCGCCTGCAAAGCCAGTGGCTGGGACACTTTCTGTGACACTGCCACACCACCATTCACAAGCCAGGCTGCCGTGCACACGGAGCACGTTCAGACGGGAGGGCAACTTGCACAACAGCAGCGTGGAGGAAGGCAGCACGTCGGGCGACATGGCCTGGGCAGACGGTCTCCACCAGACCCTCCTGGGTCCGTCCTCAAAGGGGCCAAGAGGCCTCCGTGATTGCTGCTACCCAACACTGCCTCCCAACTCTGGGAAGGGCACTAGTTTCCTGGGAACAATCCAGGTGAAGATTTAAACCTATTGTGGCTGAATATTAACTATGTTGTATTTCATATTTTAAATGTCCTTACTGTTGCTCCCCATATCCACAGGCTGCCCATCGGTAGAATTAACCAGCCCTAGGTAGAAATATTTCCAAGAAAAAATGGCATCCTTACTGCAGTGGGTGGGGTGTAGCGTCAGCTTGATGGGCTACAGACTTCACCCCAGGGGTGGAGGAACACACTTCTGGGTGCATCTGGGTGTGTAAAGAAGGCACAGCCCCTTCCTCCCTGGCGATGTCCCCCCTGCTTCCTGGCCACCACGAGCTAAGCAGCTTTGCTCCTCCACACTTTCCCACCTTTCCACCACACTGCTTCTGCCTGGAGCCAGACAACCACAGATGGTAATTCCGCTTGTATTTAAGGAAGGTCACACCCGTAAACATTGTTCCCGCAAGTGTGCATCAGTGGTGATTCTAACTGTACATAGACTTAATCACAAAACAACACTAGAGGGAATTTCCCATTGGCTTAAATCCAACACCTATTAATACATATAAATGTGTGTTTATGCATCAGTCAAGGTATATATAAATACCTAATGAAGTCCCACATCATGTAACCTTAATAATTTTACATGCAAAGAATTTCCCCCATGCTTACATGGAACTTAATCTCCAACCTGAAATTCTGTAAGACTTACATCTAATTTATATCAAAAGCCCTTAGAAGTCAGCTACTTATAAATGAATGCTCGAGGTAGCACTATGCACAACAGAAGAAACGCAAAATAACCCAAATGCCAACAGATGACTGCAGGAACACAATGTGGGCTGCGCAATGGGATATGATCAGCCACCAAAACAGAAAGAGATTCTGCTCTGTGCCACAACATGAACGGATCTTAAAACGTCCTGCTGAGTGAAACCAGCCAGCCACAGCAGGACGACTACTTCCGATCCCACGTGTATGAGATTCCTGGTGCCAGCAAACTGACAGCACGAGGGGTGGGAGTTGCTTCTCACAGGTACAGAGGGTAAGTGGGGGATGAGGAGCTCGTGCGTGCAGACCATGGTGATGCCATACTGAACCGCGAATGTACTTCATGCACCCAAACTGTACACTTAGCAACGACGTCAATGATAAATATCATTCATATTTCCTCACCATGAAGTATTTAAATAAGCCCTCCTTTTCATCTCAACCAGAGTCTGTCCATTATTGTCAAACCATAAACTAATGAAAAAGCTGTTTACCAAAAACAGATTTAGAAAGTGTCTAAATCATTTTCATTTTCAAAGACACACTTGTTTTTAAAGACATCAATGATGAACAGAGTATTTTTTACTTGAAATAAGAATAGTGAACAAAAATGAATCATAATGTGGACTCTGAAAACCTTTTCTCTTTTGGTACCAGGGAATGAATTCGGAACCTTGCGCTTGTGAGACAGGCGGTGGAACCACTGAGCCAAATCTCCCCATTGTTTTTAATCCTTAATGATATGTTTTGAAAAAACAGTTGATGCAATATTCATGAGTCTTCTAGAGTAAGTAAAATAAAAGCAAAACTTTCTCCAAGTCAATTTCCAGCTGTCCTGAAGTCTAGGGTCCCTGGTCAGTCCCCTATGAATCACTGAGGTAGACCTGCTGAAGGCCACCCATGTACCGTGAATCAGTAACTCAGTGGAATGGCAAGGAGGCTTTTCAGAGACACAAAGGACCTCTCTCTCCATCACCGCCTGCTCGAGCCATTATACAGTAAGTACAGTGGACCTTCAAGCTATGACCAGCCTTAGATACAACTTGGGTTAATCGTGTTAAAGGATGGTTCATCTGTCTCTTGTGATCTATAGTGTGTACTATACATATACTATATATAGTGTGGTAAACATCCAGACCTCAACTGTACTGACTTAGAACAAACCTGAGTTATAACTAGCTCTCGGGATCTGATCGCGTTTGTAAGTCAAGGGCCCACTGTATTTTTAAGTGAGAGCATATATCACTGACAATTTAGAAATAATTAAAAGCTAGAAAGCACCCCTCCACCTGTTCTCTACCATGGACTCAGGCAGTTTCTACTACCTCATACTCACACCGAATCGCCCCCCTGTAGGTGTAAGAACAGCTCCCCTGAAGCCACAACCAGCCTCAAGTTAGGACGCTGCAAGTGAACAATCTGTCAGCTTCCCGACAGCAGCCGCGAGCCCAAGCAAGCCTATGCTTTCCACACCGGTTGTGCCCAGCTTGGCTTGGACATTATTGGAAAATGACCCACTGGAAGTTCGGAGAACCTCCGTGTGTTTCTTGAGGGGCACAGTGAGGGGAGTGGGGAAAGAGGTGGACTGGGAGCTGGCAGAGCTTTGCCTACAGAGCTGTTTCCTGCAGGGCCAGACTCGGGGGCTCACAACACAACAGGCTGTTTCTTCCTGCTCCTAGGGTCACCATCACCATCCAGGTACTACTTACTGGGGCTGGTTGTTTCTGAGGTCCCTCCTGGGCTCACAGATGTCCATTCATCTTCTCCATGTCCCCCACAGTCACTGTCTACACCCAAATGTGTCCTGACACCCTCTTCTAAGGACCCAAGCCATATTACTTCAGGACATCTGACTTTCGTCCCCCTTTACAGATGCTCTCCATACGGTCACCACGCGAATTCAAACAGAATTCAGTTCCACCCAGGACAGCTCCAAATTCTACTATAAATGGCTGTGTCTAAGGACATTTTTCCAAGTTTAAAAATGCTCACTACCTCTGGCCTGCTCAGTGTACAATCTCCTTCCTGGTTGTGAGTGATGGTGTCCCGGCTGCCCCCCACCCCTGCCTGGCCCTAAGAAGCCACTCTTCAAGGCGGCCTTGGCTGGGGACGGGGACTCACTGCTCCCCAAGCCAGGCACAGGCTTCCCAGCTTCTGACCTCTGGCAGCCAGGATGCCACTCCTTCCCGCGCTTGGAGGCTCCAGCTGGCAATCACAGATCTGGGGAAGTTCCCTTGTGCTGCAGCAAGGGTGGACCAGGACCCTGGTGACCAGGCACATACAAGTACGGAATGTGCTTTCTGTTTGCCTGCCAAAACGAAACACATTTCTTTCAAAACGGTACAAAAGGCTCCAATCCGCATCAGGCGGCGCTAAGCTGCTTTAGGCCCTGTCCCGCAGCACTGAGCACTTGGGGCTACAGGGGATTAGCTGCGTACAGTCATTCCGAATTCTCATAAGCTCGCCAGATTTTTAAAAAAATGTTTTCAGTGCATTTTTTGAGCACTGGGCCTTAAGACCGCTCTCCTTTTATCTTCGAACTTCAAAGTATAACTTTGAAGTGAGGGTTTATTTTCCTGTAGAATTCTCAAAAGTTTCATACAGTTGGGGACAGTGGGTTGGAGTTTCCAGAAAAGTGGATCCCAGACTCGAACTTTTGGGGTCCCTGCCTGCCCGCCCCTGCCGGTACACACCCGAGAACCCCCCTCATGCACTTCACTTGCAAACCCCTGCTCCCTTAGCAAAGACTCCATGGTGCTACAGCAGAAGGAGCCAGCATGGAGTCACCCCGTTGTCATCCCAGCCTTCTGGATGTCACTTGCCCTGTCTGGTCCTCGGCCTCCCAAGTTGGAAAGTGTAGGTTCTGTTACCTATCTGGCATCACCATGGTGATCAGGCCCAAAAGTCCTTCTACACTACTGGGCCCTAAAGAAGGGATTGTGGGTGACGTCTTTCTTTTTTGATGGGCCCAAGACTGTCTCTGACCAGCAGTTGACACTGCCCTTGCTTTATAAGGCAGCACCAAGTGGCTTTGCAGCATGAGGTTGCTGCACTTCCTGATTCCATCAGGAGGCTGTAAACATACTGCCTTCCAGAACTCCACATCCTAAGCATTTACAGTTTTATTCATCAAGCCAACCATATTTCAAGGCAAACCACTCATGACCAACCTTGATAATGTCAATTCACAATTATGGGTGAAAACCTCAAATGCCTCTCTTGCTGTAACATTCAATGCTGAGTGGAGACAGAGCTTTTATTGACAGCTTTATTACTTTATTTTACTACCGCACGTTCCTATGTGACAGTAAGGCAGCTGAACACACATTAAATAAGGGCTGAGATAACTCGATAACGACCTTTCAGAGATTATTTTCTCGAAGAAGGGTGGTGGCAAGGGAGACGGGCAACTATGCAGCGAGTGGTGAGTAGCTTTGAGGCGATGGAACCAGGCGGATATTTACATTCTCAAGTAGTTCCTGGGCCATCAGAGTGTATGCCACAGAGCACAGGAGATAAGGAGAAATAAGACAAGGGCTTTGCAGAAGACATTCGGGCCGGGAGAGGAAACAGATTCATGGAGTATGAGCCAAAGACCACATTCAAAGTGTCACCACAGGGCCCCGGCTTGTCTAGTGAGAAAGTCATCTCAGCTCCATCCTGCAGAGGATGTAGAAATGTTTGACCAACAGCAAGAGCAGGGCCAGGTGCTTCTCTGAGGGAAGGCACAGGGGCATGAGGTGGTCAGGGGGAGTCAGGGAAGGGAGTTTGGCCAGGGCTGAGTACAAAGGGCAGTTCTGTGGGTGGCACCCAGCTCCTGACCTACACAGCCCTCAGAGGACCATGCACATCCCATGCCCACATGCAGAGTGTCACTGTGCGAGGGGCACTGCCCACGTCAGCCTCCCCCACTGCCACAGGAGGCTCACAATGACCCTTCCCACTTGTGGGGCGCTATTCAGATATGAAGCGACAGGGAGCAACCTCTTCATCACTTGCCCTGTGGCCCTCCTGGGAGGGGTGGGGGGTGCGCATCAGTGAACACCACAGGCGTGGTTCCTTAGGACCAGAGGCTTCCAACACAGCAGTGAGAGAAAGAAACTGAAATACAACTTCAGCCCAACACTGTGGGACCTGCCCTTCTCCCTAGCTCCTGATCGGGAGTCTGAGGCAGGAGGATACAGAGCTCCAATCCAGCCTGGGCAACTGAGCAAATAAAAAGGGCTGGGGGTGTAGCTCAGTGCCTAGCATGCTCGGGCCCAGGCTTTTATCTGCAGCATAACAAAAAGTAAAGCAGAATGATAAGAGAACGCACGGGTCCCTTGTGCAGGGCTTGCTTAGGAAAAGCACCGAGGAATGGACAGCTAAGCTGAGAGTGCAGGCCATGGACTGGCCACTTACAATGATCTGTGCCTACCAGTGGGGAGACTGGGGGACATGAGAGAGCCAGGAAGGGGAGCCACAGGAGCTACCAGGAGCCCGGGTGGGTCTGAGGACTCTCCCCAGGCACTGCGGAGATTCCCACTCAGGAAACAGAGTGGGCCAGACATGGGGAGAGGGTCGGTGTCCGGGGTGAAGCCGAGAGTCAGGATCAGGTCTAGGTTTCTGGCAGGAGTGCAGGGAGAGCGGAATGAAATTCATGCACCTGAAGAACAGAGGCAGAAAAAACCACGTGCTGCTTCATGAGGGCCCCGGGCGTGAGGCAGGCAGAGGGACAGGCTGGTGCCCCAGCACAGATCGTGTCCAGGATGTGTCCCTGCTGCCCTGCCCGCAGTCCTCACCCAGGAAGAGGAAGCCTGCCCACCTGGGTGGGGGCTGCCCAGAAACGCCGGGCCACACCCTCTGGTGGTCATCAGCTCGGGTCCCTGCCAGCAGACAGCGAGGGGACACGGAGCACAGCACAATACTGAGACACCAGCCTGCGCTTTGCCACTCATTTCTGACCTACATCTCATTTCTTCCATGACTTATTTAACATGATGTCATTTTCTGAGAATTAAGGCTGGAAAACGATAAGACATGCTGACGTATCTTGTGGGCTCCGTGTTACCTTTGGGGGGAAAAAAAAAAGATTTAACTTAGGTATGTATTTTTCATTTGGAAAAATAAATATGTAACAGGTTAACCATCTGTCTCAAAGTAAACCACTGAGATTCAGATCCTGCCTGAAGGAGCTTAGGTCCACCTTTCTAATTCATTATTAAAATGCTTTTGTGGTACACGACTGGGGAATTCATCAGGAAAAGGATTCGCTGCCAACAGCTGGAACCTGTGTCCCCAGTTCCCACTAATTTTACATCCGCACCTACATACACTACCGAGCTCTTTGGAAGCGTGGGGTTTGTGCCCAGCACGGAACACTTGTGTCCTGTATTTCCTCAGACAGGTCTGACTGAGGGGCCAGAACAAAGACACAGTGATGGTGGGTCAGGACTTCCCCTG